CTTTGCTGTAGATTTGCACAATTTTTACATAAAATAATAATTAAACAGCATTGATGGGGGGTTCATCCAGCCAACCAAATCTTCATAATGTAGACAAAGTGAAATAAACGCATAGAAAAAAAAGGGACTCATCAGATTCAATATTGTTCCTGCAACTTTTATAATGAGCAAGTTATATCTTCTACAGATCATGCGGCTATAATTTAAAGCTCTATGCAGACTGTCAGTCAGGAATGAGTAGTTTAGGTTTATACAGCCAACATGGTTTAATAGAAAGGATAGAATTGATTATAAGTGATATAAAAACTCTCTTTTTTTTTTTTTAAATCAGAAAATAACAGAGTCCCAAATCAAAAACTGTAGGAAATTAATAAAACTGCAATAGATTTTTCGTTCTGTCGATTATTAAAAACTATAGTTTTACCTCTGATCTAAATGAATCTTGCTCAGAAAAAAATCATGAACAAACTTAGGTTAAGGATTTATATTAATGAAAAACAAATCATTTTTATGTTTAAGGTGTTACAAACAGAATTTTGGTACACAAAAAATGGTATTTTCCATTTCTTATGGCTTTGAAGAAATCAGGGAAGTTAGTTTAAGTTTGATGAAAACGCATAAATGTTGTTTAGCTACAGGCTAATTTCTCACTATCTTTGCTGCTTCATAAAGCCCAGAAGGAAAAACGTTAGACAACCAGAAGGAGTCACATAAAGCAGGACTAGCAAACTGTTTGGATGTGTGAGCTGTGTCAGTTCATCAGAGCCATCAGATTCACTGGGTCCCACATCATGAACACACCAACACCAAGATAACTAATCACTACAACCTTGGGACAGAAACGCTTCCACAGAGAACTTCATCCTTCGTTACACATGATAAGATGCCAACAAGCCGCTGAGCAGAACAACAGGCGAAAATAGGATGATAGAGGAGGTTTTATATGACGCCCTGTTTTCTATTTGCTTTTGCAAAACGGCATTAAGAGCCAGAGACGCACCGATCCATCATTTCTCATCCAATCTGGAACTGATACATGTGCTGAGCATATCGGCTGATATCTGATACAACTGACTGAGTCAAATGCATACCTAACCATGCGAGTAAATTCACATTTTTAAACATTAGCATCATTGCAGTCATTGAATTAAATGTATTAGATACCTTATCCTAAGTATCGCATCACTGCATCTCTATTAAGGATCAGCTTTAAAGCACCTTGTGTGACAAACTCTACTTTAAATATAAATAATTTCTACTAATATATGGATGGAAATTTAACCATTTCATAAGATTTTTTTTTGTATAAAGATTATTTTTTCTTTCAGAGGGGAAATAGGTTCAAAGCTTTATAGAAAGGAAAGCAACCAGAAGTTTATCAACATCTGGAATGTTTGTGATCACTTCACCACTTGCAGATCAGAGGGTTTAGGAACCAGAAGAGACCCGGATAAAAGTGATCAATTTAAACAGATAAATAAATAACTCAGGTCGCACGCTACGTCTGGGCCTTGGTTGATTTGGACCACGCCACCCCCAAACCTCCATAAAACTGTCAGCATCCACGTTACCATGGAAACCAGCTCTGGCTGACTCCCTCCCTCAGTGAGCCCCATTAAAGCATGAATGATGGAGCTCAGAAAGGAAGAGGTTCACACTGACAGGACTGATCCGTTCTCACTTCAGCTCAGAGAGAAACTCAGACAGTATTTTGTTTGTTAAGAAGGTTTTCTAAGCATTTTTTGTTACATTTGACCACTGAGACACACACCAAGATTAATGTTTGACAAGAAAAAAAAAAACCTTTCTTAAAAAAAAAAAAAAAAAAACACTCCTACATTATCCCAGGTTAGCAATGAAAGAAGGAGGGTCAGAAAGAGCCTCAGTGGGCCAGAGGGGAACCAGCACTAACGGCTTCATTAAGGAGATGCACTGATTTACCATTAGCATATTGGCTAGTTCCAACACTCCGAGCAGTTAGCATATTTTCTGTCCTGTCGCTGAAATAAAAATATCAGAATAAACCGAAAACGTCAAATATAAAAGGTTAACGTTCACACCAATGAAACGGTCCCTGTTGAAAAGCAGAAACTAACCAACGGACCGTTACCAGAGGAGTTAGCATGATGCTAACCTCAGCCCGCTCAGGGACATTCTTCCACATAAGACACTCTACTGCCTCTTCTTACCTCATAGTTTAGCTTCCATCCTTAAAGCTGTATAAAGTAGCTCTCCGTGTGTTTATGTGACCATAAATTGTTGTCCTTTCTCCCAAAATGTGACGGTTTATCACCGAAAGCCCTTCCGGTGATTCTCCTGTGGTTCAGAAATCCCGATCGAGTGAGGGACAGCTGGAAAATGGGGTAACGCTGCACCAGTCTCGCGATATGTTATCGATACGTTTCAACGGCACGTAAAATCTCGCGAGAACATCATATTCGCCTCAATCACATAAACACAAGGGGATTAGGAGCGCCTTTCGTCGTTTCTTTACATTAAAAAGAAATAAACTCTTTCTGTTATTATGGCTAGGATATTCTATGTATTCTATTATTTTATGGCTAATGAAGCAAATACATTTTGTACAATACGTGTGTAATTTTCTTTGAAATATGTGATAATGTTATCAGGTCATGTTTTAGAAATACAAAAAAAATAAGAATGTGTGAAACCTAGCAACTTCTAAATTAATAGAGGTAAAAAAACGGGGTGGAATATTGAATTTAAAAGTCAGAGTTAAGATTTTTTTTAAAAAGAGAAACATTGGAAATATACCAGAAATCATATCCAGGATAAAATATAAAACAAGTCTTTAATAAGTGGAGTTCACACAAGTTGATTGCTGTTTAGTCATTATTACATCTGGATTTGCTGCTGTGTTTTGCCATATCATCACCCTTTCACCATCATACTGCGCTGATACAGAGCTGTTTTTGCTGATGTGTGTGGGGAGTATTTCCTCAAATCTGTATTCTCATCACTCAGCTCCATTTTGCTCCCAACTGTCCAAAGGACATTAATGCATCTTTTTTTTTTTTTTACACATTTCCGTCCTTTGAAAGTGCATAAAACAACCCTTCCCAGTTTGGTTGGCAGCAACAAGATAATTGCTAATGGCTTTTGGTTTTGGGGATAATTCACATCAGCAAAATGTCAGAACTTCATATTTTACAGGATTTACTGGCTGACAGTCAGTATATCAAGGTCTTTGATCAGCAGCTCATGTGATACTAGCAGTGAAAGAGGAGGCTCTTGCTCACCATTAAGGCTTATGTTGATTAATCTGACACTATAATTTGTTGCCTGCCATTAGTTTGTAGTGTGATCAAGACTGACGAACAAAACAAATACATGTTATTGTTCTTTAGCATTGGGGTTAGTTTTTGATTGATTAAGGGTTGTTGTATTTCTTTTCTTCAAATTGATCAGTTTGATAGAGTCCATCTTTCTTTAGTGGTCCAACTTTTTTCAGATTGAGGAAAGAATTAGTTTCTGTTGAGCTTTTTTAGACCTACAATTGTGTTAGCAAACATGTGGAGTGAATTCTGATCAATTGTTTTTGCCAGTAAGTTTTGCAAATGGAAATTTAAAGAAATTGCAATCCCAGAAAGGAAACTTCAAAAGCCTTCTTAGTGAAAAACAGCTTTTGAGAATAACTTTGCACTTTTGTCAGACATCTTTTCAACTTTGATTGTTTCAATTTTTATTTTTCATTTTTTATTTTTCAAATGTTTAATTTCCAGATTGCGTTCTATAAATAGAAGAATTTTAAGATATAATTTTATAGACCATATTGTCTTCATTAAAGACCAGGTCTACTCTGCACACATTGAACAAAATGTTGTTGCTAACATCCGTTCAGACCATTTGAAATATGGCTTTGCACCTGGCTCCATAGAAAGCCTGCCTCCAGAAGGGAAGAGAATGTGAGCTGTAAAAAAAACAATGCAATTTACTAAACCCAATCTGAAAAACCCTAATATATGAAAAGACATAGAATAATTATGAAATTAAATATTTAAATGTTTTTTTTTTAAATATAATAATTTGAAAAATAATCAGAGGAAAGAAAAACATAGGTTCTTTCAGAGCCTTTTCTGATTAAGAACTTTTTCAAAGTTTGATTGGTGGACTGCTTTTTTTTTTTTTTTTTTTTTAAAGAAAACTTTCCATTTCCAAAACTTTTTCTCTTTTTGAATCAGAATCAGAATAAGAAATACTTTAATAATCCCAGAGGGAAATTACTTAATTACTTATTACTTTTTGCAACAATAATCAAATAAAAAGTCACTCCATACTAACACTGCTGAATTATTCATGCTAAGAAAACCAAACTCAAAACTGCCTCTATGGCAGAGATGCTTTTAAACTCACTGTGGATTAAATAACAAATGCATTTAATGACCATTACCTGGGTATCTATGGCTCAATCCCAATTTAGATAGAGGCAGACACCACCTCCTTCTAAACCTTAGCTGATTTTTGCAAATGCACGATGATCTGCTGTTATATATCACATATAATAATGATGTTGGCGAGTGGCGGCCTAGTAGTTAGGGAATAGAGCTTGGAATCCTGAGGTTCTGAGTTTGAGCCCTGCTCCCACAGACTGCCCCTCTGGGTCCCTGAGCAAGACCCTTAACCCCACACTGCTCCCCGGGCGCCGCATGATGGCAGCCCACTGCTCCCCAAGGGGAAGGATTAAATGCAGAGAGTGAATTTCTCCATAGTGAGATCAATACAGTTCAATTACTATTATTGTTAAGACAGATGTTTATTTTTCCGTATGAAGAAACTCAGCATTGAAAAATGCTTTTTTTTTTTTTCGTCAACTGTTGCAATAAAATAGATGGTTCTACAGTTTTAATCTTGTTACAGTCGAACGAAAAGCTTATCAAGGTTCCTGGCAGCTGAGAAAGCTCAGAATGTGTAAATTGTTTCTAAACACTCCATCCAGCAGAGGGCGGTAGAGTTCCTTCATTTCCCTCCGCGGCAGAGGAAGAGGTCAGCTGATGCAGGCTGTCATCCACAGCGCTGTGTTTGCAGATTGCTTGTTTTTCTAAAATAAAAGCTGCAGCTCGTCGTTGCAGCATGAAAGGTTTATATTGCAGAGCTGCAGAGAGCGACGCTGAGCCCCGCTTTGTTATTCAGGAAACGGTGAGTTTGGTTTCAAAGTGTTCATCATCAGGTTAGAGGATAAACTGCAACACATTGAATCACATAAATGTAAAGGTGACTGTTTCTCTGGATGTGTCTTTTTATTTAGAACATTTTCTTTCACAGGAAGGATAATCTTACAATTATTTTGTTTGTTTTTGTAGTCTTGTTTTTAGGATAGAGCTGTTTTTGTATCTTAATCTCATAGATTCTGAGTTAACTAAGAAGCTTCCTTCTTTATACCAAACTGGGTTTAATTAGTGTTGAGGATCCCAGCTATCCATCACTGCAGATTTCATTCTATCTGCAACCATCTGCAGATGTATGGCATGACGTTTGTCCCATTATTTTTGCAAGAAAACAGCAGGTTTTGCACATGGAAAAAAAATGTGCCCCCGAGAATATAATATTTTTTGTGTGTCTTTTTTGTTTTTTTTTTTTTATTTAATTTTTTTTCTTTTTTTTTTTTAGATTTTTTCCATTTTAAAATTATTTTTTTTGTTGTTCAAAATTCAAACTTTAGGTGTATGGAGCAAAGACGTATTTCTCTTGGTCTGATGGATGTTAGGAACAAGATTTCTATTGGTTAGAAGGCAGCTTTTCTATTGAGTTTGAAGTCAAGACAAGGTTATATGTCAAATGTTATTTGAACAAAATATAATTCTCAGTACTCAATCTGAAAAAAGACATTTTAAAGACAGAAAATTGTCATTTAAAAACAGGCGGAAAAAAAGTCAATGATGTTCCCAACCTTTTTTCTTCAAAGTTTTCAGCTATTTCTGGATGTTTTTTTTGTGTGTTTTTTTTTTTCCCATAAAAAAAACCATGTTCTTCACCTGCAGCAAAAGTGGATCAAAGTTAACCCCCTATCAGCTGGAATCGGCTAAACCAAGTTTTCAAAGATGCATGGTCAAAAAGCTACATTTCAAAATGCTGTAAATTTCAATTCTCTGCATTTTTTCAGTGGATTTAATTGCTATGATATTAATCCAACCAGATTTGGAAAAGTTCCAAGTAAACCATTAAATTCCCCAAACAGATGTCCTCTTTCTGTAAAAGTCATGTTTCTGTGTTTTTCCTCCAGACTCTCCCAGATGTTTTGGGCGACCATGAGGTCAGAGTTAAAGTCAAAGCATGTGGACTGAGCCCTCTGGACTTTAAGGTAAAATAAAGAGGAGATGAACCTCAACTAAACTCTAATTTATTAAAGGAGTGACGATCGCCTGCTAAAATCCGTATTTTTTCCCAGTGGGTTTTTCTAGGTTTGCAAAGGCTAATAATAGAAACATAGGCCCAATCCCAAACCGGCCTCTAAGCACTAACCCTCCACATTAAGTGCTGTCCCAGACCATGTAGTGAGTAGGGCCAGTGGAACGTTCAGCCCTTAAATAGGGAGTCTGCATCAGTTGGCGGCTCGCTGGAATTCGGCAGCAGGTGTAACAGCGGTCTGATGGCGGAGGAAACGCGTTCCTCCAAATGGCTGTGGCTGTAGCTCTGCGGCACAGAGCTACAGCCACGCACATGGGGCATCACTGTGCTGCCATAGCAACGACTGCTTTCTTTTTCCGTTGGAGGGAAGAAGCCATCTCATTCTGGTTTATACACCCCCACCTTCAATCAAGGCGCCTTCCAGAGCTGTGAGTGAGACTTCATTGGTAGTGACACTGATAGCGAAGGGTTAGGGACCAGATTGGGCAACCGGCTGGATCCACATACCTCTAACTGTTGCTCCCACCTCCTGCTCCTTCATCTTTTGCAGGTTGCACAGTTTGACTTATATCCAGGGTAAGAAAGGAGCTCCGGACGGCTGTGCAGAATCCGGACAACCTTCAGCCTTATGGGCGTCATATGCAACAAACATGCACATGAATGACGCTTAAACCCAAAACTTATGAAGGTGTTTATATCAGCACGTATCACAGAGTAGATGTGAAGAAATAATTAGTTCTTCTTAAATTCTATACAGTGGGCTGTATCTGTATCGTCTGTCATGCAAAGGATTGTGGGAAACCATAGAGCTCTTGGCGGCGGCTAGTAAAAACAGGAGTTCACTCTGCTCATAGCTCCTTCATAGCTCGCCAGAAAACCAGCCCTTATTATGCCGAACTGTAAGCACTCTCCCTCTGTGCTTTGGTGTCCCACCACCCTCCTTGGGAACAACAGTATACCTGCTGTAGCATCCTTCGTTTCCAATATGGCAGCCATGTGCACCCCTTTTTATGCTGACCATAATGTGTTTATTTCCTGTCTGAGAACTTTTAGTTCTCCTTTTTCTCCAGTTCTTATGGCTGAGATGACTGGAAGCCTGATGCAGTTCTTGAGTGGCTGTGTGCTTCATCTTGCTTCAACACACCTGATTCCAACACGAGCTGTTCAGCAGAACCCTGCAGAGCTGGACTGCCACTAGGAGGATTAGCCCTTTGATTCAGGTCTGCGGCGCAGGAGTCAGATGGAACGATACAGGACCCCCTGCCCTGGTGGATTTCAGTCTGACTTTAGGGGTGAGCGCCCATAAGTACCAAGGAGGTAGATGAGGAACCAGATGGCTGACCCGTCGCAGCCTACATTTGTAAGACTGTGCTTGGTAGCCCCTATCTGGGAAAGGCATCTGCTTCTGGCACAACTCTGAAGGCCTGGTTTTCCTCCCGCCGCAGTCTGTCATGGTGAGCTTGGCGCAGATATTTATGATTTATGCCCAATATTGAAGCGTGTTTTTCCACACCACAACACCAGAGGGCCAATCAGGAACTAGCTAAGGGTCTAGATACGGCCGAGGCGGTGAGGAAGTTGGGGCAAGTTTGTGCGACAACGGAGGGACATGAGGGCCATTTGCATTCACTGCGACACACGCAGACGACCTGGTTTCTGAGCATAAACCAGCCTTAGCCTCATTCTACAGGCTTGTTAGAAGTTAAGAACCAGCAGCTATGTGTAATCACAAATAAAATCAACATTCTAATTTTTTTAATATTTTAAT